TATCTATCTATCTATCTATCTATCTATCTATCTATCTATCTATCTATTTACTTTCTCACTGTGTAACTTGGACTAGCCTCACTAAAGTTTATAAGTGCTAGGGTGACAGGCCTGCACTACTATATCCAGCCCCTAAATTAGTGCTTTTATTAAATTAAAATTAAAGTGTTTCTTTTCAGCTGCTTTTCTGAGGTGTATTTTGTTATCATAAGACAAAGAAAAATTTCTTCTCTGAAAGTCTATTTTATATTTTACACCTTTGCTTCCTAAATGCACCATGTCTATTTTAGCTATAACACAAATGTCTTTTGAAATAACATTTGTTTTTAATCTTTATGTACATATGATAACTGGCAAGTTATAAGGAGCTTTGTTAAGGAAAAAAAGACTTCTGATAGATTCTCTCGATAATCTGTTAATAATTTTAATTTTCACAAATATGTACATTTCAAAACTGCTATTACTGGTTGCTGATTACATTGGATCATGATTTTTTTTTGTTGTTGTTGTTGTTTGCATTTACTGAAGCCTATTTTTTGATTTAACACAGGTTTACTTGAAGAATATTCCACATATGCTTGAAAAGAGCATCTTCTACAATTTTTGGGTGGAGGACAGAAGAGGGCATCTTCAGATCCCATTAATTGGAATTGGAGTTACAAAGAGTTGTAAGCCACCAAGTTGCCTGTGGTAATGGAATCTGGGCCTCCTGGAAGAACAGCAGTGCTCTTAATCACTCATCTGACAAGCCCTAAACTCACTTTTCTTAACTGTAGACCACTCCAAAATTCCTCTGTACAATTGTATTTGACGCAATCCAACAGACAAGAAAGAAAGGTCATTTTTTAATCCACAGTAACTGTTCCAAGTCTACAAATAGGTGACTTCAATTACTTTCTTTTATTTACTCCAATCCAATTATCCTTAGACTTTTAAGCTTTTGTTGTCACTGTACAAATCTGATCTTGAGTCACTGTGGTGAATTATATTAACTGGACTTTTAAAATGCATATTCTTAGCTTTTTCTTTCTGAAAATATCTTCACTCTTGATATTTTCTTTATTTTGTGCGAAATTGTTCTCATTCTTTACATCAGCTTTTTTTAATTTTAATTTGTATTTTCTTTTTATTTTATTTATTATTATTACAACTTATTCACTTTGTATCCTTGCTGTAGCTTCCTCCCTCATCTCCTCCCAGTCCCATCCTCCCCTTTCCCACCCCCTGCTGACTAGGGAACCCCCATGGACCTTGGTTGATTCATCAGTCTCTGCAGGACCTCCTGGCCCAGCTTTTATGGTTTTGTTGGTCTCCTTGTAGAGCTCCTGTCACCTCCAGGTCTTTCTATCTCCTCTTTCTTCCATAAGACTCCATTCACTCTACCCAAAGTTTCGCTATGAGTCTCAGCATCTGCTTTCTAATACCCTGATGGGTATATTCTTTCAGAGCCTTCTGTGATAGGTTCCTGCCCTGTTCCCTGTGTTCTCCCACTTCCTAAGTATATACTGTTTGCCCTTCTGAATAAGGATTAAGCATCTTTCCAGAACACCAACAGCACAGACTCTAAGATCAACAATCAATAAATGAGACCTCATGAAATTGAAAAGCTTCTATGAAGCAAAGGACACTGTCATCAGAACAAAAGGACATCATCTTACAGATGGGGAAAGAATCTTCCTTCAGCTTTTTTGACATGATTTCCTGTAATAAACTATATTTAAAGTAACTAGTTAAAAGTATTTGTCAAAGAAATCAATATCTGAGACTTCCCCAAGAAGATTTTCTAATTTTTTTTACCATCTTTGTTTAGTGTATTGCCTGTCATGTTGCAATTTCAAACCAATTGTCATATATTTAAATGAATGTTTTTAAGTAATGTAGTATAGCAATTCTAAAAATCAGAATCCCCATCATTTCCTAAGTTTGCTGCTCTTATCATGTTGATTTTTTGATGGCTTCATAAAGACTGTACTCTTTGTCATATTAGGTCACTATAATCTGTGTCCAGGAAAGAAGATTATTTTTTTTTCCTTTTCAATATTAAAGTTTCATGCAAGGTAGGCAGATGATCTACCTTAACTGATCTATATCTCCAGACCAGTCTCCATGTGGGTTTCCTAGTAAGGGGAACAGGGGCTGTATCTGACATGAACTCAGTTGCCTATCCTTTGATTACTTCTCCCTGGTGGGGTGACCTAGGTAGCCCACAGAGGAAGAGAATCCAGCCAGTCCTAATAAGACCTGATAGGATAGGGTCACACAGTAGGGGAGGAGGACCTCCCTTATCAGTAGACTAGGGGAAAGGGATAGGGGAAGAAAAAGGAGGGAGGGCCGGAGAAAATGAGAGAGGGGCAACAACTGAGATAAAATGTGAATAAACTGTAAAAAATAAAGTATATATTTAAAAAAAAATATGGGCCACACTAAGTAGACCAAGATGACCTTTAACTCACTTTATAGCCTCAATCAGGCCTGTGCCACAGGACCAGGCAAGAGATTACATTAAACAGTTTGAACCAATAAGTCTCTGTGCCTGTCCCAGCTACTCTTACGTCATCTT